TACTTCCGGACATACAACCAGACCTACCGGTGAACATACAACCAGACCTACTGCCGGACATATAACCAGACCTACTGGTGAACATACAACCAGACCTACTGGTGAACATACAACCAGACCTACCGGTGAACATACAACCAGACCTACTGCCGGACATATCACCAGACCTCTTGCTGAACATACAACCAGACCTACTGCCGGACATACAACCAGACCTACTGGTGAACATACAACCAGACCTACTGGTGAACATACAACCAGACCTACTGCTGAACATACAACCAGACCTACTGGCGGACATACAACCAGACCTACTGGTGAACATACAACCAGACCTACTGGTGAACATACAACCAGACCTACTGGTGAACATACAACCAGACCTACTGCTGAACATACAACCAGACCTACTGGTGAACATACATCCAGACCTACTGGTGACCATACAATCAGACCTACTGCTGAACATACAACCAGACCTACTGGTGAACATACAACCAGACCTACTGCTGAACATACAACCAGACCTACTGCCGGACATATAACCAGACCTACTGGTGAACATACAACCAGACCTACTGGTGAACATACAACCAGACCTACTTGTGAACATACAACCAGACCTACTGGTGAACATACAACCAGACCTACTGCTGAACATACAACCAGACCTACTGGTGAACATACAACCAGACATACTGGTGAACATACAACCAGACCTACTGCTGAACATACAACCAGACCTACTTGTGAACATACAACCAGACCTACTGGTGAACATACAACCAGACCTACTGGTGAACATACAACCAGACCTACTGCTGAACATACAACCAGACCTACTGGTGAACATACAACCAGACCTACTGGTGAACATACAACCAGACCTACTGGTGAACATACAACCAGACCTACTGCTGAACATACAACCAGACCTACTGGTGAACATACAACCAGACCTACTGCTGAACATACAACCAGACCTACTGGTGAACATACAACCAGACCTACTGCTGAACATACAACCAGACCTACTGCTGAACATACAACCAGACCTACCGGTGAACATACAACCAGACCTACTGCTGAACATACAACCAGACCTACTGGTGAGCATACAACCAGACCTACTGGTGAACATACAACCAGACCTACTGCTGAACATACAACCAGACCTACTGCTGAACATACAACCAGACCTACTGGTGAACATACAACCAGACCTACTGCTGAACATACAACCAGACCTACTGCTGAACATACAACCAGACCTACTGCTGAACATACAACCAGACCTACTGCTGAACATACAACCAGACCTACTGCTGAACATACAACCAGACCTACTGGTGAACATACAACCAGACCTACTGCTGAACATACCAGACCTACTGCTGAACATACAACCAGACCTACTGCTGAACATACAACCAGACCTACTGGTGAACATACAACCAGACCTACTGGTGAACATACAACCAGACCGACTGCTGAACATACAACCAGACCTACTGGTGAACATACAACCACACCTACTGCTGAACATGTAACCAGACCTACTGGTGAACATACAACCAGACCTACTGCTGAACATACAACCAGACCTACTGCTGCACATACAACCAGACCTACTGGTGAACATACAACCAGACCTACTGGTGAACATACAACCAGACCTACTGCTGAACATACAACCAGACCTACTGCTGAACATACAACCAGACCTACTGGTGAACATACAACCAGACCTACTGCTGAACATACAACCAGACCTACTGCTGAACATACAACCAGACCTACTGGTGAACATACAACCAGACCTACTGGTGAACATACAACCAGACCTACTCTCGGACACACATTCAGACCTACTGCTGAACATACAACCAGACCTTCTGGTGAACATACAACCAGACCTACTGCTGAACATACAACCAGACCTACTGGTGAACATACAACCAGACCTACTGGTGAACATACAACCAGACCTACTGCCAGACATACAACCACCAGGTCTACTGCCAGTTCTGCTGCTGGTCCTACCACCATACCTACAGCTAAATCTACCACCAGATCTGTTGGCAGACTTACAACCATACCTAGTTCCACTTCTGCAACTGGACTCACTGCCAGTACTACTACCATACCTTTGACCACATATTTTCCCAGATCTGCTGTTAGACCTACAACCATACCGACTTACAAATCTACCAGGAGATCAAGTGAATATTCATTTAAGCGTATTCTGATATTCGAAAGGAAAGATACTGCCAGTTCTCCTGCTAGTCTTTCCACCATACCTACCACCAGTACTACTGCCGGACCTTTCACCAGATCTTTTAGCAGATCCGCTGTCACACCTACTGACACATCTACCATCAGATCAATTGAATATTCATTTAAGCGTCTTCTGATCTTCGGAAGGAAAGATACCGTGAGAGTCAGGGTGAACGGAGAAGATGTACACTCGGCACAAAACAATACTTGGCAACCACCTCCTCTGAGAAGCGGTAACGGACACCAACCAGGACAACACCTGAAGCCCCTGATCATGTTTGGCAATGTCCGTGCACAGAGACCACCACACAGTCTCGGTCGTGACAGTGCACAGCCGCAGAGACAACAAACTTTTGCGGACAACATATTTGGCTTTCTCGAGAAATACCTTTTCAAAGATGGTGACTCTCACCCGTACAGATAACGGCCCTGCAATTGCGTAAATAAATAGGAAACTACAACAAACACATAAGTTGGAGACTATATTGCTGTTTCTAGAATCGATGTTTTGAATAACGACGGTTTTACAATGTATGTTATCGAGTAAAAGCATGATACGCAATAAAAACGAACACACCTTCGACGCTCGATCTCTGGCTCTCTTCTCACAATCCTCATGAACTTCACAGCCTCCGTACCTCGACAGCTTACTCGCAACTATATACACAGGCAGGTGGTGGTGCACAGGCAGGTGGTGGTGTACCGGCAGGCTGTAGTGGTACCCAGGCAGGTGGTGGTGTAAAGGCAGGCTGTAGTGGTACACAGGCAGGTGGTGGTGTACAGGCAGGCTGTAGTGGTACACAGGCAGGTGGTGGTGTACAGGCAGGTGGTGGTGTACAGGCAGGCTGTAGTGGTACACAGGCAGGCTGTAGTGGTGTACAGGCAGGTGGTGGTGTACAGGCAGGCTGTAGTGGTACACAGGCAGGCTGTAGTGTTACCTAGGCAGGTGGTGGTGCACAGGCAGGCTGTAGTGGTACTCAGGCAGGCTGTAGTGGTACTCAGGCAGGCTGTAGTGGTACACAGGCAGGCTGTAGTGGTACTCAGGCAGGCTGTAGTGGTACACAGGCAGGCTGTAGTGGTACACAGGCAGGCTGTAGTGGTGTACAGGCAGGTGGTGGTGTACAGGCAGGCTGTAGTGGTACACAGGCAGGTGGTGGTGTACAGGCAGGTGGTGGTGTACAGGCAGGCTGTAGTGGTACACAGGCAGGTGGTGGTGTACAGGCAGGTGGTGGTGTACAGGCAGGCTGTAGTGGTACACAGGCAGGCTGTAGTGGTGTACAGGCAGGTGGTGGTGTACAGGCAGGCTGTAGTGGTACACAGGCAGGTGGTGGTGTACAGGCAGGCTGTAGTGGTGTACAGGCAGGTGGTGGTGTACAGGCAGGCTGTAGTGGTGTACAGGCAGGTGGTGGTGTACAGGCAGGCTGTAGTGGTGTACAGGCAGGCTGTAGTGGTACACAGGCAGGCTGTAGTGGTACACAGGCAGGCTGTAGTGGTGTACAGGCAGGCTGTAGTGGTACACAGGCAGGCTGTAGTGGTGTACAGGCAGGCTGTAGTGGTACACAGGCAGGCTGTAGTGGTGTACAGGCAGGTGGTGGTGTACAGGCAGGCTGTAGTGGTACACAGGCAGGTGGTGGTGTACAGGCAGGCTGTAGTGGTGTACAGGCAGGTGGTGGTGTACAGGCAGGCTGTAGTGGTGTACAGGCAGGTGGTGGTGTACAGGCAGGCTGTAGTGGTGTACAGGCAGGTGGTGGTGTACAGGCAGGCTGTAGTGGTGTACAGGCAGGTGGTGTACAGGCAGGCTGTAGTGGCACCCAGACAGGTGGTGGTGTACAGGCAGGCTGTAGTGGTGTACAGGCAGGCTGTAGTGGTGCACAGGCAGGCTGTAGTGGTGCACAGGCAGGCTGTAGTGGTACACAGGCAGGCTGTAGTGGTGTACAGGCAGGTGGTAGTGTACAGGCAGGCTGTAGTGGTACCCAAGCAGGCTGTAGTGGTACCCAGGCAGGCTGTAGTGGTGTACAGGCAGGTGGTGGTGTACAGGCAGGCTGTAGTGGTGTACAGGCAGGTGGTGTACAGGCAGGCTGTAGTGGCACCCAGACAGGTGGTGGTGTACAGGCAGGCTGTAGTGGTGTACAGGCAGGCTGTAGTGGTACCCAGGCAGGCTGTAGTGGTGCACAGGCAGGAAATAGAATGCCTCGCCACACGTAAACTCGTGCGCCCCACTGCACCCCACACGAGGCCTCCAACCCAAGAGTTCAATTGCGTGGCGGTCTGCCTTTTTGAGCTGAGCAAATCTGCCCCTTGGCTGCTGGTGAAGTAAGTTCACTCTAAACTGCGGCGTGCTATGTGTTTTTTTAAATGTGGTATTAGTTCAGAAACGAATTCAGTCGGTGGGAATGGAACTCATCCTCCCATTTTTATGTTTCTCTGTCGTCTCCAAGCATTCTTCCTCGTACTCTCTCCTGCCATTTTTCCTGCTCTTAAGACCAGATGGGGCTCACGAAGAATCAGGCGAGTGCGCATTGGTTATTTTGAGGATGTGTTCCCATGTTTGTATCCCTTGTTGTTGACGATATAAAATATAAAAACAACACAGCACGCCACAGTTCAGAATGAACTTCCTTATTACAGCAGCCAAGGTGCAGATTAGCTCAACAGCCCCAACTTCTTACACACTATAACTCAGAGAAGTAACGGCTCGAGCAAAATTACATAGAAGCATGGGGGGGGGCGGAGCAATTTTTTTTAATAAGCTGGTTTATTATAAAATACATGTGATACATTATTCATATGTACACACGGGGGGGGGGGGGGCGGGGGTGGCGTCTTCCATTATACAGCAATTCCAAGCAAAATGTGTATTCACTGCAAATGTTCTGCGTAATGCAACCGACCATTATGCAACACAAGGGGACGAAGAGGCGCGCGCGTCGCGAGAGGTCAGCGCCACGTCGTCAGCGGCCGGGATGATGAGACGGCCGTAGTAAGGGCAGCGGGGAAATAGGTACAGTATTTACGAAAATATATCGTACGTGACCACGTTTGAAAACAAACACAATCGGCTCAGTATTATTATTTTTTACAGTTCGCTTTTTCAGTTTTTCAAATGATCGTTTTTTTTTTACTTCAAGCGAATTCGTTTACAGCAACAACTAAAAATAATATGGCACCACCTGGGACAATTTCTCTTATATTATTTGGGCATCGTTCTCCTCCCCCCACCGCCTTCACATTATTGCCGGCGCGTCGAGATGTCGCATTTTCCGTCCCTCCGTCCACCCACAGGCCCTCGGGGCACTGTTCGCCTGCCGCTAAAAGGCTCGCAGGTGCCACGGGCACTTGGCAGGCGCCGGCTGAACAAACAAGGGCTCACGAAACACTCGTTGACCTTCACCAAACGCTTCCCTTGCAAAGGGCAGGAAATACTGCTCAAGAATCCCTTCCTATTGCCTTCCGAAATATTAGGGGTGCACTACGCGCGTTCGGCAGTTGAAGGGGGCGTCAGAGGAATTAGACCACGCTTGTTTCGTGATTGCGTTTCATGGTTTGCGGCTCGGCGGTAGAGTGGGCAGATCGCAATCGGTAAGGCTGCGAATTCAAATCCTGGTTGGGGCGTGGTTTGACTCAGCCCATCGTTTCTCCGGGGGGGTCGATAAAATAAGTACCACTTAGTGGGGAATTCGACAATGATTGTACTATTGGATATACTTGCCCCCGCCACGTGAATGTCGAATGTACACCACTGGCTCAGGGCATTAAACACAAGATGAGCACCATCTCAATGTTCATGCGATCAAGAAACCACCAGATTTTTTCCTGTTTCATCAAAGGGATTTTTGTTGTCATTTTCCTATCAAATGAATGTACGAGGTACTTATTTCCATACCGTAGCACTGACACATCGGGCAACCCAGTGCCCCCCACTTGTCACGGTCTAGTGTCATCGCCACTTGGAAAAAAATTCCCACGAAACACCTGAAGATGCTGTTCCTTCTGCACTGTTTGGCTCTGGATCCCTCCACTCACAATGTGTGTGCCTTGATATAAAGTTCAACACGTCACCAACGAGAATGAAGTGGAAAGCAAAAACACCCTGCACACTAAGCAAAAATCATCTCCCTATAAACGTTTTAAGAAAATATTTGACTCGTAGGATAAGTACTTTCATTGTTAGACTGTAAAAAGCATGGCAGGGGGGGAGCACAAACAAAAACACATTCAGCATAAAACATTCAACAGCATTGAACACGTTACTGGCTATACCAACACGAGTTGGCCATGTGTTCCACAGAAAATCAGCACGCAGGCGAAAAGTTTTACGTTCTCAATTAAGCCGGTAACTGGATCTTCTTGAATGCATTTAAGCTAAACTATATATCTTATACATATCTTTTCAAAAGGCTTAAGGTTTTCAGGGAGTGAAACATTAATGCAAAAAAGTTGAAACTTAAAAGACTAATAAAAATGAGATGACTATCGACACCATAGGCAGAAATCTGACAACTAAACGTGTACGTGGCACTGCAGGTTCTGAATTATATACTCTTATAACACACACAAATTGCACAATTATATAAGCAAATGAAAATTATTTGGAAATTAAAAGAAAAATACTATTCATAAGTCTATTAAAAGAACAACGTATACATCTGTTAGAAAACAAAAAGGTGCATTTTACAAACGAAAGCAGAAACGCTACACTAAGGGCGAGAGTCGAACTTCGGATTGCGATGATTTTGAAATTGTGCTTAACTGCAAAATATGCACTCAAAATACCGATTTCACATTGCTGCTGGCTATTACAACGCAAAGGCAGATTAAGAGCAAGTGCTACGACATACACTACGCTACTTATTGGCTTGATTAAAAGCAAAACAGCCCTAGTAAGTGATAGACCAACATTTTCTCGGGAAAAAACAAAAACCGTAAAACCTCATTCGATTCACTTTTGCGCATTAGTGACATGCCGCCAGCCTGCCCAAGACGTGTTCAGTGATCACGAGCCCGCCTCGCCTCACAGACAATTATCGCTTGATGAGCTGCCGGGCGCCTTAGCTTGCCGTCTGGCGGTGGATGTGCCCTGGCATGCCCCCCCCCCCCGAACCGATGCGGGGTGCACACGTTCTCTTGTGGCCGTTTTTGGCCAGCAAGTGCGGACATGGCGAGACGTCTGCGCAAATAGAGACAGCCCTCGTGCCCGTCGCGGCCGCCCCCTTGTCGTCCCGGGGCTCCACTTCCGTGCCCCCACCCCACCCTCCTTGTCCGGCGGTCTCGAGCTCGCAGTGCTGCCATTACAGAGTTCTCTCCCCCTCTCTCTCTCTCTCTCAGCTCGCAGAGCCGTGGCGTCAACAGAAATTGCAGCCATTGGATAGGTTCCCTTTGTGCGGGAAATTAACGGGCCTGGGCCGTGTTTGGCTTGCTTGAGATGCTCCCAGAGTCACCGGCACCGGGGTCGCACGTCTTGCCGCCATCGCCGCACTGAGAGGCGCCGAATGCTTTGTTGTGTTTGCATCGCATTTTTGTTTTTTTACCCGATGGCTCAAACTCGTGGCTCTTTCCTGGAATCTGGGCAGGATTTTTAACCCTGGATTTCCAAATATGAAGGGAGTGACCTACTTATGCATGAAAGAATCTGAAATATTCCCCCCCCCCACCCCATCCTTACCCATCCCCAAAACAATGCAGCCCAGTTTGTCACCGCAAGCCATATTCAGTTGACTAATGAATATAGCGAGGAATGGCATTTTAAAAGCACAGGTAATTATTGCATTATTAGCATATTCTCCCTTGCTCACAATGCCTCACACAACGACAGATGGGCATAATTTGCGTGCTGCCAAAATGTTGAAACGCTCACAACACTCCGGCAAGATTGTGGTTGGCAACTGCCGTACATGTTGCAAAGGTTATCCAAGGGACGGCAATCCTTTACTGTAATAACAAAGGCCACACTGGTACAGTTTTAATACGGCACGGCACGTTAGCTTTACAGAAGTCCTGCTCTAGCGCTGTGGGAAATTGGAGACGACATAATTGAATATAATTGTGCCTGGGTATTTGTGATACAATGTGAACAATATGCTGAAAAAGTTGAAGAGTAGAAATATATATAAGTGCTTTGGTTTTGGTAAATGATTTGGCAGTGATGAAATCCACATGTGCCCTGCATCAGTGAATTGCTCACTATTGGTGTCATTTTTTTTCTTTTTCTGGGGGTTCATTTAATTAAATGGGGCCTAATGGGATTTTCCATAACGCCACGAATATAACGCTTTATTAAAAGAGCTTATAATCTGAAGCAAAAAAAATATACTTTAGATTCCAATTTTAATTCAGAAAAATAAACATTGGAAAATTGGTGGTGGCGGGGGAGTGAGGAGGGGCCTTAATTTGGAGATGATGACGATGTCTCATCAAAATAATTCAAGCTGCATGTGTCAGTGGTGAGCTGGAAGTGTACACCAGTTGGCAAAGTGCTATAGAGAAATAGAGAAATTTAAGAAAAGCAACATCCGATGGACGTGCTTGCAAACTGAAGAAACTGCGGATGGGCACAAGAAACACTTCGCATGCAAGCACCAGAGCTCAAGGGAGAGACGTTCAGCCACGGAAAGAAAATCTCCGCTTCAGCGTCTGCGAGAACAGTGCTGCTTCTCTGCGCGCGTGCGTGTGTGTTTTTCGAAAAAGTGGTTAACCGTGCTCATTTAAGACGAGGATCTAAAAGGTACCGAATGACGCGCGGGGAAAGCGAGCGTTGACTGGCGCCGCCGCCAACGGCGGCGTTCATGAAATGCTGGAGCAGCGCACGGTGGGAGAGCCCATCTGCGTGAGCACACGGTCGAGCCACTGCAGAGGCCCATTGAGGTGCAGCTCAATCCAGCACGGTGTGCTCGTGATCGTCTGACGCCTGATTCAAAACAAGCAGTGGGGGGTGGGGGACAAAGGGGTGTAAAAAAGGCAACAAGAACAAATACATGAATTAATAATCACCATAATAATAAACAAACATGCAGCATTGCACGTGCATCATTAACTTTTCGCATAAAACTGACAGGGACACTTCACACACGTGGATAACCCTTTTTTCACTGTTAAGTGGGTAATTCGGACTGACTGTTTACGTTTATCCCCTACAGTAGCTGTGAGAATGAGAGCTGCGTTGCAGCCCTGGCTTGCTTGCACCAGCCAAAGCCAACGTTGATTGCGTTACAGGGTAAAAGGTCACATTTTGCAGACTCTTTTTGGTCTTGCAAATGCAGTTCCTCTTAACTCTAAACCATACCAGTGCCAAGGATTTCACACAAGTACAAGGCAAAGGTGCAGCCCTATAATTTCCTGCTCATGCAACTGCTGCAGGAAGGGATTCCGCAAGAGGGTATTTTTGGCCTACTCTTCTAGGCTAGTCAAATGACTTAGAAAATCGTAGGAGTACCCATACTTTAGCCCACATCATACAACCTGCCAATCGACTAAATGCGGTTTACCCATTTATACAGCTGGGTAGACACAGGCGGGAGGGATTTAAGAAACTTGCACCATTGTTTAAACATATTTACTAGGCCTGTATTGGAATTCTGCCACACTGGCAACCAGCCCCAAAGTCCAGATCTGGTTCACCAGGGCCAACTCCCCCGCACTGTCGTCCAGACACGTTTTGAAGTTAGGAGAAACCAGCAGGGAACTGAGGTTAAATTACATGAACTTTTTTTTTGGTCCAACTTATTTTAACCACTTGGCAACGATCCATAAATACGCGTTTCTTCTGGCGCTGGACACCACTGGGAATATCACGTGCGGGGATCTATAGACGGATGGAATAATCCGAGCCAGTGCTGTCTGAATACGCAGCCAGCATTTCAATTCCACGTGGCACCGGGGGCACCAACCCATGCTATCATTCGACCTCCTCACTAAGGGTGCGTATAGTATAATGTCACTGCTGTATGCATGGATGTGTTGAACTTTTTTCGCATCGTACATAGCCAACTATGCTAATCGGAGGTGCGGGAGAAGGACAACAAACTAAATACAAAAAGCAGTTCTGAATAAATTAGTTTTCAGTCTAGATTTAAAAGTGCATAGCTCCGGTGACATCCTAATATTGGAAGGAAGAGCATTCCAGACGGCCGCAGAAGCGCATATGAATGCGCGTGATGCGGTGACTGTATTAGTTCGATGGCTGCTGCCCCCGAGGTCAGCTGGAGTACCCACCCTTCCCCCCAGCCGCCTGTGCTACCGAATTCCTACCCCTATTCAAGTCCACATGCATGACCTTTCTTTTTGCCCTCTGCCTATAACTGACTGCCTCTCTCCATAATAAAATGTCACTCTTTCTGTGCAACGTCTTGAAATGCGGGTCACATTTAGATTCCATATGAATCCACTTTGCACTTTCCACTTTTGTGTTGGCTCACGCAGAAGCCCATAGCCTCAGAGAGCATCCCATATACTGATATATAGAAGCACATTCTTATATACTCATATACCCACAAAGAAACCTATAGAATGACACAGAGACCTACGAGTGCCTCTCTCTACCAAAAGATGCCTCCTGTTACTTACAGCGTACTGAGGTGCAGTCACATCGAGGCACTATATAGACATTATATGGATCCAAATTATGTTTCATTGACTTGTACATAAACCCACAGGCTCACACAGAGCCACATATACTTGCGTATGCCTGTGACTGCCTCTCTCTCTCTATGTCGGACAATATTCCCACCGTTTATTTGCAGCGTCATGGTATAAGGTACATGCTGAGACGCAACTGCGCCTCAACAACACGACCGCTGTTGTCGCTGCCCTCACCTGTACTCGGCACCCCAGCCTTTGACGAAGCTCATGCGGATGGTGCACATGCGCGTCAGCTGGTACACGGCCTCGAAGCCCTGGTGCACCGACTGAGCGAGGAGCGCGGCGAACTCCTGGTTGTTGAAGATCTTGAGGTTGCAGCCCGGCGGGATCTTGCACACGGTGGCCGGGTGCCACCCGTAGCGCTGGTTACAGTTGGGGCTCTGCACGAAGATGGCGCTTTCACTGAGGCACTCGGCAAACACCTCCCCACCGATGTAGTAGAGCCGCACGCCGCGCCCTGCGGGACACAGGTAACTTATTTTCCACTGCACAACCGAGCCGTGCCGGGGCCTTCGCGGGTCAGCTCTGGTGTGGTTTTTGGACGAGCTAGAATTTTTTTTTTTTTCCCACTGCAGAACTGCAACTGTGATGTCAGCATGTTGCAGACGTCACGTGAAATGAATGAGCCGAGACACGTGCAGATGATGACACAGTGATGCTTTACCCTGACTGGCGTCACACGTAATCGGCATGCCATTAGCCCCTCCCCTGGCCCTGCTTGGCCCCGAACCATATTCACATGTGCTTGTGAGTCGAGCGTATGACGGTTTGATCGTTACTTGGCACGGCAAATTGCCAGTGGAAAACCCACCCGTATCGTGAGAGGCATACACTGGCTCGGCTGAGCTGTGCCAATGGAAAAAGGGTAAAGAAGGACTCGATGGGCACGTATATGACGCGTTCTATTATTTAATTAATTCGTCCATGTAATTTTCTTAAAGCAAGGGTGAGGAATATTTTCAAAACTGAGGGCCAGATAGAACCTTTAAATGCGTTTAGTGGGTGAATATTAATAACCACAGTTCTGGACCACAATGCTTGACCAACCCGCACTAGCGAGCATGATGCAGTACGGTCAAACAATCCCCATGACAGACATGGCGTGGGGAGACCTTGTCAGGAGCAAATTTGCGAAGGGCTCAAAATCCGCTGTTAGTTTACACTATTGACCGCTGCATTTACCGTGAAGTTAAAGAGAATCGGTTATTTTATTTGAATTGTGACGAATTATCAAATCACTGTGTAGGTGAATCGTTGCACCCGTAAGCCAACAGTGCTGGTACTGCACAAGCAAAACAGTGAAGTGTGACACCGTAGAATATCGCATCCTAGGGTACGCCTTTAAACTCGATTTCCAGCAATATGCTTGACTACTGAATTGCACAAGAGCCTCCGCCAACCCCATCAATCTCCGAATCTCCCGCCCCTCCCCGCCCCCTGGTGCTGCGCTACTTTAACTAACCGATGTGCCGACGAGTCATCTCCACCACTTGGTTACGGTTGACGTTGGAGAGGAGGCCGAGGCAGAAGCGCTCCGAATTGGAGGGGTCGGTGAAGCCGTCCACTGTGAGTGAGGGCTGCGACGCGTGGAAGGTCTCGCCGACACGCTGGTTCAGCTCGTAGTAGCCGATGGAACACCAGAACGCTGGCTCGCAGTACATCACCGGTTGCAGGTCCCCTGCAGAGCGAAACGTGGCGCCCCGTGTGACGGCGGGGTTCGTGCACCGCGCGATGACGCGACGGGCTGACACGTGGCGGGGGCGGTGAACGAAAGAACGGAATGAAGACGTGGTTGGGAATCGTCAGTGGGGTTCTGCTTACCTGTAGTGCTGCTCGACGGAGGCATGGGAGCGGGAGACATCTGCTCTGATGACGGGCCTGCAGAAAAGAACGCGTTGGGTTTTTAAGGGAAACAAAAGCGATCCTATTTTAAAGCGCGTACCTCTTTAAATGTTCTCTGCCAAGAACGCTGCTTTACAAATGCAAGCACAGTCGCACCCATGTAAAGGCCAGTGCATCAAACATACATTATATATAAATAAGCAATTTTAAACGTGATGTTAACTGTGAAACCGAGCAAATGCAATAACATTTCTCCAGAATGCGAAACAAACTATCTTGATCTTATCCAAAAACCTATCCAATTTCCAATAACAATGTGTCAGTGTAAAGGCAGGCAGTGACGTTAATCGACTTACTTGAGTCCATGCTGCGGGGCATTTGCATATCACTGCTTTCCCCATCTTCACTGAGATAACCCGGTGGAGGGGTCTCTGCAGTGGAGATGGGAGGCAAGACAGCAGGCACATTAGCGATGGCACCGTAAACACATTCATACAAGAGCACGTGTGTTGGCCTGCATACTGGATTTTTTTTAAATGTCCCATTTTAGATCGCAAGGTAACGATAGATCATCATCATCACCAGCCATGGTCACCCCACTGGCTGGTCGAAGTTCTCACCAAGGAACCACCGCCACTCTGGTTAATGATTATGGTTAATTTGGCTTCGACCCCAAGCCTGCAAGACACAGGTGATCTGCTCATGTGCCACGTGCCGTGGATGCTTGAACTATCGGCCAACAGGCACGACACGTGAGTCTCCTTTAAAGAAGAAGAACAGCTCTGATGATTTCCTCATATCCTCACCAGCGTCCAAAGACAGCCGTGCAACTTACTTAAATATTGTAAAACAGTGTAGGTATTTTGTATAGCCCTCTAATGTGTTTTTGTGGTTGCCTAGACGTTTCGCTGCACGTTCGATTAGCACGGTGAGCTACGTATTCAACATACATACACGTGTTGAGGGGCTTTATCGGAACCAAATTGAGCGTCTCACTTTGTCCCGCGGTAATGAGAGTGCACCCACGGCCCCGTTCGGTTCTTGGAAGAAGCTCCCAGCACGTGCAGCGAAACGTGTGATGTCATGCCGAACAACAACGCGCAGTAAAATAAAATAAAAACACATCGCGAGTATCCTTCCCAGCAGTGGTGTGTGGCGACAATGAATTAAATTATCCATGACCACTGCACCTTCCCTTTATTTATAAATATCCATCCGGGAGGAAGTTTACACACCCCAGCGAGGGCTTTGCAAACTGCCTGTGGATCTATTAAGCAGGAAGGTCACGGCGATGCGGAGCGAACGTAAATGCCATGTGGTGCCCATTTACATTTTGGGCAGTGAAATGCGAGCGTAAAAAAAAATAACAGGCAAACATTAGTTTTATGCCCTTACATAAGTCCACATTTTCCCACAAGCTCAACCTTATTTTCCACATAAAAGTTCAAGCATGTATTCTATCAAAACAATTTACTTTTATTGATTGGGAGGTCGGTGTGGTGCGGTAAAGTGTGGGTACTCCCATCTCTTCCAAGACGTCTCGTCAAGTGTCGAAGAGTAGGGCAGAATACACTCTAGGGGAGCTCTATAACGCTCCATCTAGTTGAGGCCCACTTTCCAGCAGTGGCACTTGCAAGAAATTGCAGGGCTGCAGCTTTGTCTATACTTTTATAGAAACACTTGTATTTTTTTTCTGTTAAACTTCTTTTGCATCGTACTTAGCTAACCGCGCTAATCGGAGGTGCGGGGGAAGGACAAAAACTGAACACAAAAATAGGTTCTCAAGAAATGAGCTTTCAATGCACATTTTTAAATGCATAGCTCCAGTGGTTTCCTAATAGCGGAAGTAAGAGCGTTCCAGATGGCTGCAGAAGCGCATCTTAAAGCACGCGATGCAGTGATCGTCTTTGTTCGATGGCTATCCAAAAGCAGCCGCTGCTGCGAGGATGACCGGAGTTCGCATGATGGTGTATGCTCCTTGACGAGATCAGCAAGGTACTGTGATTAATTTGTGGCAAGCGCTTTGACACTCTGTAGCATTAGATGCAAAGTCAACAGCACGATCCAGAGCTCTCGTCCTTCACCCTCGCCTCAACTCTGCACGATGACCTCCTTCATCCACCTGTACCTTCTCTTGAAATCCTCATCCACACCTTCACTGCCTCTCACTTTGACTACCACGACTCTCGTCTCTACAACTTCCTCAAGTCATACATCTCCAAGGTCTGTGTGACTCATCACCCACACTCGTAAACGAGACCACATCACCCCATTCTCCAGATCCCTCGATCCCTCCAGGAGCTCACAATCAAATCCAAAATCAACTACAATGTCGCCTTCACCGTCTTCGAGATCCCACACATCGACTCGTGTCGCTGCCTACCTCTACCCTCCTGACTCTTCCCCTTCACGAGCTTTCCTTTCCAGAAACCAATGACTTCTGTCAAAGCCCTCGGTCAAACTCCACTCTGCAAGGTCCCCTTTGCAGGGACAGAAGTAAGGAAATGATTCCCCTGCTCCTGGCCTAGGAGCTCAAGAACATCGACTCGTCTGAGCAAAGAGCCATCGCACGTGCGTCAGTAAAAAGGACGACGCTGAAATTTGGGCATGCGGTCAGGTTTAGCAGCAGCATGACCCAGCTGGCCTCACCCGGAATGTAGGTGCTGGGCAGGCCAGTGGGGAAGTTGGTGTTCTCAGGCACGGAAGTGTAGTCATCCAGCGGCGGCAGCTCCGGGATCTCCGTGTGGCGAGGAACCAGCACGGGCGGCAGCACTGCGAGTCGGGGACCGGCACGGAGCGAAGTGATTTACGGTTCGCTGTTGGGATGCTGCCACGGCGTGATGGTCAGCACACTGGACGTTGTGTACTAACCACGGCAATTGGAACAATGGGAGTAAGTTTCGTATATACCTCCCAAGTCTCAATCCGCCCAGCAGTCTACTGTAAATGGGTGGGTGACAGTTCGTCGCTCGGCAGGCTTCGTGTGGTGGAGCACAAATTGGTGTTCATTCCTGCATAAGTGGTCAATGAGGTGGGATTTTAAACTGGAATAACAGATGTAATGAAAAAAACTGGGTAGGACAGCAAGGGGACATTAGGTGCCCAAAGGGCAAAATTAACAACAGAATGGATAAGAACAGAGGGAATAAAAATGGTAGAGAGCAAGTAACATGGTGGGGTAGATGAGGATATTTGGAAGTGCACACTGCATGGTGATGGTGAGAGCTTGCGAAGGGTGGAAGACAATGTTGGGTAGCCATTGCCCAGCAGTGGGATGTCAACAGCTAAGGAAGAGAAGGAAGGAATCGGAGAGAGGCGACCTGAGCCACTCACCGGGCGTCTCCACCTGCTCGTAGTGGTAGGGGTTGACGCACACCTCCATCTTCTTGAGGTTGAAGGCGAATTCACAGCAGTCGATGGCGCGTAGCTCGTGGTGGCTGTGCAGGTCTGGCCAACGCCACAGCCGGCAGTAGATGACGTGCGGGAGGCCTTTCCGGTGTGACACCTGCAGACGCCCATCCAGGGACCTGCGCGCAACAAGAAGAGCGTGCATTACAGGAAGCCTATGACCAAATCACCCGGGCAAGCTGAGCAGGGTTGAGCTGGACAGTGTGTGGATGGGTGATTGGCACACGTGCCAGGTTTGCTATAGGTGGTTGTGGCGGTGTGCTACGTGGTGGGTAGCACAGGGCAGTGCAACGAAGTCCACGCTTGTAGTGAAGAGTACTTATTATGCTCTCGTATCTAGGTTCCACGCCGTCCTCAACCGACACTGGCCAGAATGGTGATGTATGGTCATGACCCATGGCATGGGGAGGCCCACGTTCAAGCGGTGGGTTGATTAAAGTCTGTAAACCATTATTATTGTTATTATAGGAAGTAGCCCCCATCATGTGCTTTCACAATCAAGTATGGACTTACAAATGAAGATTCAAATTTTGGCTATGTTTCTGTGTACCTGGTGAACATACAAATGTACCTGTGACCAAATTACCCTATAGTCTTTCATGGATTAAAAGGCCATTTATAATTATCAAGGTTTTAAGGACTGCAGCGGCCTTCGTATATATATCCCACGTCTTTTTGCCACTCTAGAATATAGTCAAGATGCAAGGTCACACTTTATGGAAAGCCAAAGTGAATAAAATATTCCACCTAAACCTGTTTAGTACTTAGAATTTCACGATGCACAATATTTTCCACAAATTTAAATAGGTTGCTTTCACATTCGGTGATGATTTGTATAAATAATCCAGTGGAAATAAATTCAACAAAAAAAACCACATGGGATTTATTATAAGCAATACAACAAATAAATGTACTCATGGATTATACATCATCATCTCCACTATTGTGTACTTGCAAATAAAATAAATGAAACAAGTGTAATATAGTTGATTTAAATTTTACTCTACATCATACACCTTGCGCGAACCCACTTAAATGTTTGCAATGTCACCTGAACCAGCATCCTATAGGTAAGTTACTCTTCCGCTGGCACAAACCTTTAGTTGAATGTGTCTCTTGGCACGGAAAAGCTTCACAGTGAAATGCTGCCAAATTACACAGCACTCCCGGCTCTAATGCAGCAGGGTTGCACACAGGTGCAGCTTTGTGCCAAGTACAGCACACATTGCCCACGGTTTTTTTTCTTAAAATAAAAAAACACATTGGGTTTACAACTCTGTATGATTGCCTGAGTTGCAGTGCATTATTTACGAGATTCTTAGGTTGCTTACTGAAAAAAAATAAACCTCACCGAATTCGCCATTAACGCTACATTTTAAAAGAATAATATCCAACAGGCTGACGCTTTGGGTAATGGCCCTTCTTCATGGTGGAGACATGGATTTGACTTTCAGTTGGAGATCGCTTTTTACAATGCAAGGCTGGGAAAAGATGACAAATCAAAAGTTTTCCACCGACGTGAACAGTTTTCCCCATGAGTAAACACTGAATAGAAAAGTGTAACTTTGATAACACTTAGGTATTGAAAAAACTTTTCATATTTCAAAGCAATCTTTTAATTTCCCAACTTTCCTCAAGTTTTTAAGTTGTGTATGGCACCACAGTGTAATGTGCATTCTCCATCTATGAAGTCAATCTCCTTGCTCTGTCTCTCTCTATTTTCATTGAATGGTCACTGCGTGAAACGTCAGCCAATTATATGTTCTATTATTTAGTGTTACCCTCTTGCATGCACGAAATTTCCCCAACACGCCAAACATTCACTCATGGAATTGGTGAATCGTGAAAACGTATAACCCTCCTGAATAAAATGTCTTAATGCACAATTACTCTATTCCAGATAAATAGGTGGATTTATTATCATTATTATTATCACCTTGGTTCTATCGTTTGAGATTCGTAGCAGTGTGGAACTGAGCCCACAATGCTCTTTTTGCGCCATAATTACCACGACAAAGCAAGGTAATTGGATAATTGGCACAATAAAGCTGGCAGTCTCCAGACAGAGGGCAATGCATAATAAACATCACTGCCACACTTGCAGGTGCATTCATGCTAACAGTGCCAGGGTGGGTCCCAAAGCAATGAAACCAGAACAAAAGAGTATACGCAGACTCTCCCATCGCAGATTCTTTCAATACAATATGTCTCTATCACATTGCATTTAAACGTACAGCTCTTTTGCAATCCACTGCTGGATGAAACATGCGTTCAGAGTTTTTGGCTGCTATCAATTTCCACGTGATAAGATGCTTTGTTGAGCTACCAATTGCGACCAGGTCGCTTATGAATAAGAGCTATCTAGCTCAGTGGGCTCTTATCTGGTAAAATAATAAATTGTAGTAGCAATAGTTAGGATCAAGGCCTCTCCATGCCTTTTCTGTCAAAGTGAGTTGTTAGATCATACTTCATCGTAATGGTCAGTGTGGGTTGACGAGGAGGGAGGCCTGGATCGGTTCACTTGTCAGTCCCACTGGTGCTAGCCATGGCAAGGAATCTAGCTCGAGTCATTGATTATTTACTAATTATCCAGAAACACCTCGCTACGTTTTGGGAGTCTTCTTTCATGAGGGTCCTGTGTTGGGATGTTTGGCCAATTTCTCACTGTACTTGTGTAGTACGGCTTCAAAGACACGGTCAAATTTAGACGCTGCATAAACCCAAATATTATTTTGCATTATGAAGGGAATAATGCTGATTTGAGGAATGAAACAAAAAAAAGTGATCAAGTGATACCCTGCTCAAGTGAGCATCGAGGCGGTGCTGGTCTCCTGTTGACACCCCTGAGAAAGTGGTGGAATTTCCACATTCCTATGGAGTGAGTAAGCCCATCTCTAGAATAACCACTGTTGACCTCTCCACCAAGTGGTGCTCACTTTATTGACTAGGGGTTGAGGGTCGACTCAGCCCATTATCCCTCTGGGGATCCATAAAATGACACACACAGCCTTTCATATAATCTTTTGGCCTGCCTCTCGTATGCACGAATTTATATATGTACTGAAACACGTGTGACTGGAAGTGTATGAGTTATTCGGACTACATTGTGTACGTGCGTAGGAGCACACGCGTCTTCCAAAGACTCACGGCCCCAGCATGTTGCACCGACGTTCCCAAGTGGCACCGACGTCCCCGGTGACGTACAAAGGGGTGCAACGCTTTTGCGTGCGAGCGTTTGCAACGTTACGCATAAACATTACACAACCCCGCACTGAAACACTTCCGTTAACTCTTCAAGGCCATTTCAGAGTTAAGGCTGTTGTTGCCCCCTGTAGGGGCTGCAAGGATGCGCAGAATTATTGATTGACGTCTATTCTTAGCGGATTACAAAAATCGCCCGGAATGCACCCGGTCGCGACAGTTCTCAGAAGCTAAGCGGGGATGTTTGAAGCGTGGACACTGCCGGGATGAGCTTCCACCGCAAGTAAAGCAGGCGCCGTCAGCAGAGTGCAGCGCGGTAAATATCCATCGTCGTACTTACTGCACGATTCTACAATAGCCACGCCAAACCGCACTGACCAGCGGAGTGCAACATGGTTGAATACCCCCACCACGTGCAGCGTTGAGAGTGGATAATTAAGGATCAAGTACATCGATGGATTCTTAATAGCTCACGATAGACACACTAAATCACGCAGCTCGTTTAAAACGTAGTTTAAATGCGATGCGAATGTTGTTTGAGGGCAATGTAGCGAATTAAACCGAGATAAAATGAGAAACAATGCAAACGAGATAGTCAAAACGAACGCAGTGCAGTATTTTGGTGCGCATTAACAAAGGAAATATTAAGTCGTGCATCGCATCGTGGCCCCGCGTCGTTTTCCCGAATCGTGACAATTCATGGAATTGCTGTGCGTGTGTAGGCCAACCCGCCACGACTGCTCTCCTGTAACACCCAGTGAGTGACTGCTCCGCTGCGCTAACGCCCAAAGTGAGGAGCGACCGAAGAGAACTAGCAGTCTGGGGCGAATGCGAGAGAGCCGTTTCTCAAAAGTCAAGATGTTTAAACCACCCTGCCTCTGCAACGACAACGTTGCTTGCCTTATCACTTCATCTCGACTAAACCGCCGCTGGTCGAAAGCCAAGTGCAGCTGGCAGGCCGACTGGTACAAAAGCGCCTTTGAGATCACAATTTAATAAAAGTGCCGTAGCTCGCATGCATCGATTTGCTCGGAGCGGCAGGTTGGAACTCGCCGTGAGATGGGTGGGGGGGGGAGGCGCAAAAAACAAATGCCGCTACCTCTAATTATGTCTGCGTGCCAAACCATAAAGTTCCACGTACAGACTGACAGCGGCAACAGACATCTGGATCAGGTCCAAACGATACCGGTGTGACATTTCATGGATCCCCGGCGCTGTAAACAACCATGGCACCGGAGTATTCATTTTGATTCCTCTAAATACTGGCAATTTTCCTTTAAACTGAATTGGCACAACTGCAATGAGAATTGTCGATTGTCATGCTTTACAGTTTGTGAGCTCACAATGGGACTTGTTTTTTTGTCGTCGTCCCCCACCCCCCCCCCCCCGCTGTTAAAAACCGTATTTTGCGTCTATTTTGTGGAATGTAACTGCCTGCACCACCGGGACTGGAATTATACTTTGCCATGTCGAAAAACATGTTATCGATCGCAAGTTGCAACACGTGTAACGTATGGTCAACACCTTAATTTGTGGTCGGTTAAATCGTGAATTTTAAGCAGAAAAAAACCCCACGCCCAAGACCACTCTTTATCGTTCCACGCACATCTTCCTGCAAGACCTCACTTGCTCCACACCTATTCCACCGCCCCGAAAGCTTTCCACGACCCGCAGACCCATATCTGCAGAAACAGCCACGTGCACATAACGTACAGGAGGATTGTGGGCTGCAGACCATCGATACTTCGCACAAACGTGGCATTGTTTAACCGTGCACTAATCTCGGCAGGCTTGCTAACTTCTCTCTCTGTAACCGTATACCATGTCACGGCTATAACCTAACGAGCACTCCACGTTGATTTTATTTCCTTTCGCCGGCCCTGCTAAAATCATCAGCATGTGAAACCTGGGGGGAGCG